ATGTGGTTTGGGGATGTGGTTTGGAAAAGGGGAGGGGGAGGTGAAGGGGGAGGGAGGTAGATGCAGTACAGTACTACACTATAAAATACCATATCTAGGTCCTGGGGTTTGAGGTTTGAGGTTTGAGGTTTGGGAATTGATGTGAGATTTCTTTTTGAGAGATTCAGGAGGTTTTGGGGATTATTTTTGATAGGTGCGTTGGTTGGTTGAGTTGGCTATGTGAGTTATGGGAGATGGAATTCTTGGGGGGAAGGGGGTGTGTAGGCAGGATTTAAAGAAGTGTAAATAGATATATAGACATACGTATATGTTTATATACTATATATGCGTAAGGGTTTAAAAGGATTCATCTCTTCTCTAGGTGACTACAGTGATTTACTACAAGAGGAGGAGTATTTGAAGCTTGGCAGGTGGTACTTGAGATTAGTGTTCTAGTGCTCTTACAACTTCTCGGTTTGTAGGATCTTTGTTCTAGAGGTATAGGGGGTGGTTTGTGGGGGTAGGGAGAGGGGTGGCTGTGGTGATATTTGGATGGGGAGATATGATAGGAATGTATGAGAGAGGTTTGGATTTGGGTACTAGAAGTGTTATATTACATTACTATATATCTTGAGTTTCTCTTTTGGCGACTTGGAATGGTGGGTCGTGGGTCGTAGAGATACTATGAACTCTTTAGATCTCGAGATATGGAAACCTATCTCTTGCTACTTTTAGCTATGGATGTTGTTTAGACTCTTGTGGGGCGTTAACAGGTTAAGCGATTTTACTGTCACGAGTATAAGGACCAAGTTGTCTGGCCGGCTTTCATAAGACTATTAGGCTAGGGCTAGAAGGGAAATTCATTTGATTTGTCTCTCTCTCTCTCTCTTTTTTTTTGCGATCCTAGGCATTACAGAGTTACTACCCCCGTCACAATCGAAATAAATTATATGTCTTATGAATAATATAATATCCATTATAGTTACTAATATCCATTATAGTTACTAATATTCGAAATAGTATAATACATAGTCGAGTAATACATAACCAGTAGTTTTGTACGAGGTATGGTGGGAAGTGTGAAAGTGAAAGATATGGAATGGAACAGGGTTGGACTTGTGAAGATTCTCTAGATACTCATAGTGGTTTGATGAAGGACTCTTGTTGTCAGCGCTCGGCAAATGGAACCTATGTCATGAGATTCCAGGTGGAATGGAATGGAATATTTCATCAAAAAGGCTCTGGAATTCCAGAGGATATTCTAACTAATCAGAGAATGGTACTAAATTTACGAGGAGTGAATATTAATTAACTATATACCTGTACTAAAATAACCTTAATCTGCTATAGATGCTATAGATATCGAGCCGGTTAATCTCTTCGTCGCTTAATTGCTTTGAAACCTATACTCTTATACTCGCTACTAATACTATTTCCTGGAATCTAGGCTTCCTATTGGTCTACGGAGCGGATAGACTTTTCTCCGGATCATGTGATTCGGTTCTATGGAATTCCAGTAGAATACCTCCGTAGGGGGTATAGAATAGAATATTCCAGAGGGGGGGGTTATGGAATGGAATGGAATTCCAGTTACCGAGCGCCAACTTGTTGTATAGGGGGATGGATTAAGAGGGTGAGATATGGAGGGTGTGATATGGAGAGAGTGCTGTATTTCGAGAGTGATGTTTAGAGAGTGATGTATGTAGAGTGTAGTATATATAATGAGTAATATATGTGGAGAGTGACATATGTACTGTACAGAGTGATAGAAAGTGATATATGTAGAGAATAAGATATTTACAAAGAAAATAGACCAGAGCCTATAAGAATTGTTGATATTAATTAAAGCCTTTTAAGAGGTCGTTTACGAATGGAAATTTTACTTGGAACCGCGCGTAGGTTAGTGTTAACGATTAGCTGCTGTAGCCTAAACCCAGGATAAAATGTTGGCAGTTCAAGATAACCTGCAAGACTAATCACAGTAGATAGAATAGCTATAAAACGGTAACAAAAAGTTGTGAAAAGGAAACGAAAAGATTTAATAGGATATCAGAATACTGGTAGATAGTCTCGATTTTACCCAGATAATTCAAAGCCTCACTTCCGGGTGTACGTTGGGCTTCCATGATGCTCGCTATTTTGGACTGCGCCTTGCCTCGTCTACCAGGAGGGAGGTGGTGTCTTGGTTGTCATTCGCTCCATCCTCCAAAATCCTGCTCACGACAGGCCGCTTGTGTAAAGTTACATATCTACACCGCCCTTCAATGCTGACCATCTGTATTCTATAAGAAGTACTTTAGATCCTTATCTTGTCCCTCACAGCTATCTTTCAAGCGCACCTTGAAAGAAGATTCCGTCGTTAATTCGAAGCTTCGTCATCATGCTCTGCAAGTTTTGTCTCGATATTTGTATCAACTATCATTCTATTTGTGACCGCGCAGAAGAATTTTGGCCCTTCTAAAGAATTTTGCACTATCCCGACCTTCGTGATTGGGTCAAATCAGCAAGCGATGGCTGTGAAATGTGCAACATGTTCGTGGAGCAAGTCCCCATAGATTTGCGATCCGTCAAAACTTTGTGTAGAGTGAACCTGAAGTTTTGGACAGCTCCATCCTGCTGCAAATATCTGATACTTAAAGTAGAAGGACGAGGAGGACAAATGATCCAATCGAGCTTCTGTGCAAAATTTGGTAAATTATATCCATGGAGTATTGCTCGTCTGCTGGCTAAGCTAATGCTGTGATTTACCTTGATTTTCAGACAATTTTCCCGCACAACAAAATGGTGGTATTATTGAACGCGCAGTAGAAGAAGATCCAGTTTCTAGGGGGTCATTGAATCTTATACAACAATGGATTAGAAAGTGCAACGACAACCAGAAGCACTGTCCCCAGACAAATCCCCCTCCACTCCCCACTCGAGTTCTGGATCTCGGCGACGGCACGGAGTCTGAACCACGGCTTTTAGTAACAAGCAAGAAGTATGGATATTACACAACTCTCAGTTACAGATGGGGTGGCTCTATCCCTAAGTGTACGACTACGGTATGCTCGATTTCACTTGAGACGCTCCCAAAATCGTTTCGCGACGCGGCAAGAATCACAAAAGCCTTAGGTATACGGTATGTGTGGATTGATGCATTATGCATAATCCAAGATTCGAAGGAAGATTGGGAAAATGAATGTCCGCAAATGTGTAGCATTTATCAAAATAGCTAGATCACGATTGCTGCACCGGATGCTCCTAGCGCCGAGGCTGGATTCCTTCACAGGCGTTCGAGACCAATCTGCCTTCCTTACTACGACAGTGAGCGAACTCCTGCTGGGGAGATGTGACTCCAAGTTCCTCCAAAGGATTTCCCCGGGCGCTCTTTACTACGAGATCGAGGATGGGTGTTGCAGGAGGAAGTCCTTTCACGACGAACAATTCTTTTTGGTACCGAAAACAATTACTTCGAGTGTCATGAAGTTAGATATTTGGAGCACCGCGGCCTGCTCAAACAAATACCAAGATATAGTAAGCCAAACTTTCAGTGGCTTTATGAGCCAGGTTTTGAAAAGGAATGCGGATATGTCTGGAGACAAGTTGTTGAAGCTTACTCTCCAAGATCTTTTACGTTTCCGACGGACAAGTTACCCGCTGTTTCTGGCATCGCAAAAGAGTTCTCTTCAAAAACTGGATACCATTACCTTGCAGGACACTGGCGTGAGGATTTGGTTTACTCCCTTAGATGGCATTACTCCCTTAGATGGCATTACTCCCTTAGATGGCAACAATGCGACAAAGCGCTTCGACTGGCAGACACTTACAGAGCACCTTCCTGGTCATGGGCATCTGTTGATGGGGCAATAGATTACTCGTTTCGGAATTTTCCAGAACCCGTGAACTCTGCTTACCCTGAGATTATCGACGTTTCCATAGATCTTGCCGGTTCAGATCCTTTTGGCCAAGTTCGATCGGGTTCCATAACCATTCGAGCGAAAGTCAAGATGGCCGAGATCAGACCTGGCACCTCAGATTCGCAGCCCGTTTTATATGAAATTCGAGAACAAGGATTTTAGAATGCACTTGGATGCCCCATGGTGGATTGCAAAGTTTCCGTGCAAAGTGTAGAGACACTATACTGCATGCAGCTCTCTCTGAATCCGAGAGGCGAATATCCGACATCAGAAGTTTTACTCCTTCGGCGTGCGGATAGGGTCTCTGAGGTGCAGTATCAGCGTGTTGGGTATACGAGAATTAGTAAAGAGAGGTTCAGAGGCGCACCATTGATCTATTTGACTTATGACGAGCGCAGATCTAGAGCAATAAAAGGAACTGAGTTTGAAAAAGATTTGTTTGATGATGCAAAATTTCAAACTATTTGTATCATTTAACCAGTATAAATTCAATATACACCCTATTACACCAAATACAATAACTCATTCGCCACTTCTCTCTGCTCAGTGACAAAAGTTGAGATACCTGCGAATAAGATTATTATGGAACCACCAAAACATTACAGTAAGTAGTCTCCCCACACTACTTCCATGGAATAAAATCTCATTCAACCAGCCACCCTACTGGCCAAATTGGGAAGTATGAATAATTAGAATAATAGATCTCGACTCTGTCAACCGTTATTCACGTCAAACTTGCCAGATTAAGCCACAGTAAATTAGTTGTGAACCCTTCCGCAAAGACATTAAATTGTAATACTAGGCTGCAGGTTGAGCTAAATTGAGTAGTTTGTGGATATTCTTGTAGATGTTTTTGTTTTCAAGTCTCATGGAAATGCGGAAAAGTTTGAGAGGAAACTTTGGTTATCGAAGATATTACGTTGAAGTGAATACCAAATGTCAAGACGCGTCGGAAAGGGGGACTCGCTTAACACTCGGTTGCAAATGTTCGGCGCAGCCCTCTTGAGAGCAACGTTATTGTAGAAAGACTTATATGAGTGTAACTTTTTTGAGAGTATTAAAAGTCATGCGAGCAATGCAGGTAGGTTGTTTGACTTTTTTATCTCTTAATTAACTGAAGTAGTTGAGAACGATTAACTTGCCTATGCCGGACTTTTAGTATATTAATCTGTCGATTTTATGTTGAACAACTGAACTGTCCTCTCCACACTTGATAACGACAAAAATATCACAATTAGTGTTAGTTGCAACTAATTACTCACAAAATTACTAGTAATATGTTACCAGTTTTGATGTTATTAACAATAACCAAGCCCCTTCTAGGTCGCTTAACTCAGATAGCTATGCCCTGACTCAACCTCGGACGCGAGAATTAATTATGCTCGAACTGAGTCTTGTCCTTTTAAAAAGGCCATATCCTTAATCCGTTCGGTAGAAAGGAACCCCGTCCGTAATCTAGATACCCTTCCCGCATTTGTAAAAGATTAGGTTATGATAGATTACAACTTTTTGTCGCAAGGGAGTAGAAGCAGGGATAGACGGGTTAGGAGCAGGAGACAATATGGCCAGATACCAAAAGTATAGTACTCATTACTCAAGAAAGGTCCAAGAATGTGACGTAAACATATCTCATTCTCACTCTCATCCTTACTCTCATCTTCTAGAACTTAGAAGAGAATGATATGAGAGGCTACTACAGCCCATTTATTCAAGGCACTCATACGAGGCAACCATACACAACCTTACTAGATAGTACACTCAAAGGTGCAAACCTTTACTCTTCATCCCCCTCTTGTCCCCCAATCTTTCCCATCTTTCTAGAAACCCCAGGATCTTAGACTCCAAAAATCAAGACTCCTCTAAAACCTCTTTAAAAACACGGGTGAGTCAAGTCCAAAGTGGTCTCTCCACAGAAAGCGATAGCGTATATAAGTCATTTTAAAGAAAGAAAAAGAAGAAAAAGAAAAAGAAGAAAAAGAAAAAGAAGAAATAGAAGAAGAAGGAGGAGAGGAGAGAGAGAGAACGAAGCAAAGTTCCGCAAACTTCAAGAACTTAGTACGAACCTTTAACGGAAAATCGCCTGGTCGTAACCTAATAAGAGAACTAAATCTCAATCGTAAAAAGGGTGACAGGCCGATTACGCTACATTGACCAACCACCATTTGATCCATAAAACTACAGAGGTTGTTCGATGCTGATATATGTGCTATTGGTATCCTTATAGTTGTTGGGCTTAATAGAACCAAAATTGATCTGCTAATCTGGAGGTTACTTATCTATAAAGTGAAATACGATTTACTGGACTCACAGTGAATGGAGGATGATCATGGTTCTTTTAACTCATTCAGTAACCCTCCACCAATACCCACGACCCATCCCACAACTACATTCTCCATCCTCACACATCCACCACATCCTGTAAACCCACAAACAATCCCCTATTCCCTGAAATTTCATTCGAGACAAGATCCAGCATCTCATCGCCCCCCAAAGCACACAGGCGACATGTAGCTCTCATTACGAACTCAGCTAGCACTCTATTCCTCCTGGTACGAAAACAGCCAATTACCACGCGACTGGGTAATTGCTGTAACTACAAATGGCTGGACAACAAATGAGCGAGCCCTAGATTGGATTTTTCATTTCGATCGGCATACAAAGCTTTGTACGAAGGGCATTCACCGGCTGCTTGTGCTTGATGGCCATGAAAGCCACCACTCAGTCGATTTGAGCTTTTTTGTAAGAGTAATAACATTATTACTCTTTGCATGCCAGCTCATTCCTCTCATAGACTCCAGCCACTCGACGTAGGATGTTTTCGAGCGTTAAAAAGGTCGTACGGTGCTGAACTTGAGAAATTAATGCGACTCCACATTACATATGTTTCTAAGGAGGATTTCTTATCAACATTCCATACTGCCTTTCGTACGACAATGACTGAATCAAACATTCGAGGAGGATTTCGAGGATCTGGATTAGTGCCGTACGACCCAGATTCTGTGGTTTCACAGCTTGATATACGCCCAAGGACTCCGTCACGTCCATCTACCTCAACAAGTCTCCTAGCTATTTGGGAACCAAAGACCCCAAATAACATAACAGAGGCATATTCCCAGACGTCATATATACAAAACAAGGTCGTACGACACCAAGATAGTTCTCCGACCCAGATTCTATATGGCCTAGACCAGCTTGCAAAGGGTGCACAGCGTGCAATCACTGAGGTAGCTTTATTACGAGCTGAGAATGCTACACTTCGTACAGCAAATGATCAACTTAGTCGGCATCGTCGTACGAAAAAGCGCCGATTACAGGAAGGAGGATCACTTACTCTCCAAGATGCGCAAGATTTAGGGGTCCTTAGTAATGTGTGGTTTTAGTAGAAAATAGTAATTGTACGAGCCCGAGTCTAGTACCTCGCCGGCGCTGTGGACTATGTGGGAAACATGGTCATAACATACGAACTTGTCAAAAAGGAGAAGAAATATGTGAGGATTCCGATTCTGAATACTGTAATTAATTTAATTAATTGTGTCGTGAGATATTTAAGAATTTATAAAATGCCAAGAAAAAAATCCATTTCGCTTGGGAATCCAACTCGCTTGTGGACTACGTTATACTCCTATTCCTAGTATATATAGATTAAATTAACCTTATCTAGATATAGTTTACTAGGATAATATAGTTTAATAATAATAAGGATATAAATATATAAGTATAAGTAATAATCTATATAAACGCTAGGGTATAAACGTTTATAGTAATCCGATTATATATTTATTTATTTATTTATTACTATTTAACGTCAGGCGGAATCTAACTCGCGTGGGCTAGGTCCTAAAAGTCCCATTGTTGGGCAAATGACGCTAGGGGGGTGCCCTAGGCTACAGGGGGTGTAAATGAAAGTGCGCTAATTTACAAGAGATAGTTTAAAGAGAAGCCCCACTTCCGGAACAGCTCTCATTCTGAATTAGTTTAAGAGCCAGAGTAAAAATAAGTTAACAGTGTACAAGATAGTGAGTAGAGAACAAGAGAAGAACTATATAAGACAG